TGAGGCTGAGATCTACGCAGGGGCCATGGCTGCACAGGAGCTTCGCTGGCTCACCTACCTGCTGACCGACCTTGGAGAGCCGCCTCTTTCTCCTCCAGTCCTGTACGTAGACAACAAGGCCATGCTGGCCTTATGTCGAGAGCAGAGACTGGAGCACAGAACAATGCACATTGCTCTCTGCTACTTCCTTGCTCGTGAGCTACAGCAGCGTGGTCAGTTGCGGCTTGCGTACGTGGCCTCTGAGGCCAACACTGCTGATGTCTTCACCAAGGCACTTGCGCCTTGTGATCATCAGCGCTTCTGCACCCAGCTGGGTCTTGTACCTGTCTTGCCTCACTTGCTCACCTCTTGACCTTGCTTGTACTGTTACATATATATATACCTGCTCTTGCTTGTCTAGCCTTATATATATATGTACTCCTGCATGTGAACTGGCCTTGTGGCCTTGAACTTGTGCTCGGAATGTGTGGTGACTTTGTGATCCACCCTGAGCTTGCTTTGCTTTGCTTTACTTGACTGGTCTTGTGACCCCTAGTTCTCCCCCATTTGTGGTTACCGCGGTTCGAGGTTACATGTGCGACTCGATGTTTACAGTTCATATATATTTGTGTGCTTTGTATTGTATGGAATCATAGTGAAATCCTGCATCTCCTTGTACATGGTACAACTCGACACAAAATCCAGAGAGCTCCTAATCTCTATTCCTAGAGCATAGTCTTCACGTTTCCAGCCATAGCTCACTCGTTACTCAGGCGAACGAAGTGAGTGACGGCTCGTTGGAAAGCTAAGACAGAGCTCTAGTGGTTTTTACATCTCCAAGTTCCTGCCAACTAGAGGAGAGTCCTCTACAACAGTGGTATCAGAGCTGGTCGGAGGAGTCTACTCGCGCGACAAGGAGCAAGCATGATGACGTCAAGCGAGGCCTCCCGCACTTCCTTGGATGGTGTCGTTGTAAATTCTGGCGAATCTCGGGCAACCGCGACAATGTTCGACACGTCGGCGGTACCGATTTTCACAGGACAAAATTACTCCGCGTGGAAGTTTAAGTTCCAAGTGCTCATGATGGAGCGGGGACTTTGGGGTTTCTTCGATGGAACGGAGAAGAGGCCGGACGACGAGAGCGGCATCGCGGCATGGAAGAAGAAGGACCAAAATGCGTTCGCTACGTTGATTTCGCGCATCGGCATCAATCTCGTGAGCTCGGTGCGCATGTGCATCAAGCTCGAAGCGTCGGCGCATGAAGCGTGGAAGCGGCTCGAGACCATCCACGTGAACAAGACTCTCCACGGCAAGATCCTAGCCCAGAATGCATTCTACACGGTGAAGATGCGCGCGGGCGAATCGATGCATGAGTATGCGACTCGTGTGGAGGAACTCGGGGAATCGTTCATGGTCCTTGGTGGAACGGTCTCGGAGGAGGATTGGATTTTGACATTGCTATGCGGCCTTCCGGAAGAGTGGTCGACGGTGATTACGACACTCGATAGCGTGCAAGACACTTGGACAAAGGAAATGGTGGTTGGTCGGCTTTTCCATGAAGAATCGCGTCGCCGACAATTCGCTAATGAGAGCGAGGGTGCCGCCATGTACTCCGGAGAGAGTTCCGGAAAGAAGTCCAAGTGGAGCAAGGGCGCAACGAAGGAATCGTCCGGTGGGAACGAGCATCGCGGCAAGTGTCACTATTGCCGCAAACCGGGACACTTTTGGCGTGAGTGTCGAAAGCGGCCGAGCGATTGGACTCCATCGATGGCGCGGGACCAAGAGGGCAACGCGCACACGGCATCCGGCGAGGCCGATGATTGAAAGGAGTCGCTCGTGTTAGTGGCCAGCAACGGGGACAAAACTCCAAGCGACGCGTGGTTCCTCGATACCGGCGCAACGCAACACATGACGCACTCGGCGTCGCTCCTCAACAACATTGGCGCTCCGGGAGACGTCACGAGCATCGTGTTTGAAAACAACGAATCGCTACCGGTGGTTGGAGTTGGGAGTACGCGCCTCATCGTCGATAGCGGACCGGTGGACGTCATGAACGTGCTTCACGTCCCGGGGGTGAAGGTGAACCTTCTATCCGTCCCGCAACTTGCGAAGAAGGGCGTGATAGCCACCATCGACGGTGCGAAGATGAACCTCTTTTGGAAGGGGGAGCAATTCGCGCAAGGTGTTCTTAACGGAGATATCTACCAAATCAAGACATACCCGAGAGCGGCTTCATCCAACGTGGCGCAAGGCTCCAAGGCGACTCTCAAGGCGTGGCATAATAGGCTTGCGCACGCCAACTACGAGTCGGTCAAGGAGTTGGCCAACAAGGGTCTTGCGAAGGGAGTCAACATGATCGCCGGCGATGGCGAGAAGGGCGTGTGCGCGGCGTGTCTCGAAGGAAATATGGCTCGAAAGCCATTTGGTAGCCGTACCTCTCCCCTCACTAAGGACTCGCTTGCACTTGTTCACATGGACGTGTGTGGACCGATGCGGTGCGCATCAAATGGAGGAGCACGGTTCCTCTTGGTGATGCTCGACGACGCGACGCGGATGTGTTGGACCCGACTCTTGAAGGCAAAGGGCGATGCGGCCAAGGCGATTTAAGAGTGGGCGCTCGATGTTTGCGACGACGACAAGAAGCGGATCAAGTGTATTCGCACCGACGGTGGCGGCGAATTCGTGAACAACGAGCTTGAAAAATGGATGAAGAGCAAGGGCATAAAGCACGACGTCACAACACCCTACACACACCAACAAAATGGAGTGGCGGAGCGGCTTAATCGCACATTGGTGGAGGCCGTTCGTTCACTACTTCAACACTCCAAGCTTGGGAACGAGTGGTGGAGAGAGGCGAGTGCGCTAGCGGCGTGGATTCGCAACCGTTTGCCGACGAAGGTGCTCCCGGGCATGACTCCTTTCGAAGCATGGAACGGAACGAAGCCGAATCTATCCCGCCTACGCACCATTGGGTGCCTTTGCTACTACCATGTCCCGGATCCTCTTCGCCACAAGTTGCAACCGAAAGCTCGTGCGGCGATCTTCTTGGGAGTTGCGCCAAACAAGCGTGCGTGGCGAGTGTGGGACTTGGGCGACAAACGTGTCGTCACGTCTCGGGATGTGGTCTTCGACGAAGACAAGTTCCCGGCGAAGGAGAAACCAACTCAACAAGTCACCTTCATCCTTCCGGCACGAGAGGAGGTTGAAGAAAGTGAGGTTCCACCTCAAGTGGAGAAGGATCCCAAGGTGGAAGGGGAGAGAACAACGAGGAGAGCGTTGATAATGTCGTGGAGGTGTCACCAACCGAGGCGGCAACTACCTGCACACCTTCCTCCCAACCATTGGCTTTAACCCGCGGGCGTCGTGAGGTTCGTCCTCCCTCCAAGTACGCCGACTATGCTACGGTAGCCATTGGGGAGAAGGATAAGGAGGGCGTGGCATATTGCTTCGCGACCAAGGATGATGATGAACACGCGGAATCTCTCATGGAACCACCCCCTAAAGATCCACCCCGTGCATGCGACGAGCATGTTGGATTGCACACCTAGTGGGTTGGGTGCAAGGTGAAGTGTTGGAGGTGGCGTGTGTTGGAAGCAAGGTGGTGGTGGGGCGATTGATATGCCCCCAACCCACCGAATGTGTTGCTTCCGAATGTGTTCATTGCAGGTTTCGTGAAGTTGCAGGTTGACTTCGGAAGAACCTGCACTTCGGTGCCACATGGCAGCACAAGAACAATCGAGACTGAAGTAGAATTCGATTCGGTGAAATTCAAGACTCGAATTTCACCCCTTCGAAATGTTACTCGAACATTCGCGAGTGCACCGCGGTTCGAGGTTACATGTGCGACTCGATGTTTACAGTTCATATATATTTGTGCGCTTTGTGTTGCATGGAATCATAGTGAAATCCTGAATCTCCTTGTACATTGTACAACTCGACAAAATTCCAGAGAGCTCCTAATCTCTATTCCTAGAGCATTGTCTTCACGTTTCCAGCCATAGCTCACTCGTTACTTAGGCGAACGAAGTGATTGACGGCTTGTTGGAAAGCTGAGACAGAGCTCTAGTGGTTTATACAACTCCAAGTTCCTGCAAACTAGAGGAGAGTCCTCTACAACAGTGGCCGCCTGAGGTTCCCTGCACATACAGTACCGAAAACAAGCACACACACACACACACACACACACACACACACACACATACACACAGACACACACACACGGTTTTCAGGCAAACATGCACTGCTATAATTGGACTACACATAAGTGTCATGTAATAGAGAGAGGGTTGAATCACCTTTGGGGGTTCGGAGGTTGATGCCGTGCCGCATGAACCACCGGCAGTAACGCTCGCGCACTCCCGCCTTGAAACCACGATTGATGGACACATCGAGCGGCTGGATCTGGCTGGTGCATCCAGCTGGGATGATGGCCGGCGTGATGGAGTGTGTGCGGTAGGCGGCGAGCATCCCTGGGGTAATGTGCCCGCGGTAAGAGTCGAGCACCAGCATGGATGGCTTGGCCGCCGCACCTTTGGCAGGGTTGAGGTAAGGGAGGATCTCCCCTCTAAGCCAAGCACCCACCGCATCCTCATCCATCCACCCATTCTCTTGGGCTCGCACCACCACACCTGCCAGGCACAATGGATCAGGACAGGAGATGCGCATGTGCCTGCATCCCCCATCCCACCCCATGCGTAACACCATACCCAACCAGGTCACCACTGCCTCAGCTCATGCCACCAAGTGCTCGGCATCAAGGAGCGATGAGTGCAAGCCTTCCCCCTATTCACCTGTGTATTATCTGCTCTTCACTCCCACACTCATCCCACCTTCCAGGTGACCACTGCCTCAGCTCATGCCGCCAAGTGCTCGGCATCATGGAGCGATGATAGCAAGCCCTGCATACCCACACCCCTCTCTCCCACCCCACCCCACCCCACCCCACCCCACCCCACCCTACCCCACCCCACCCCACTCCACCTCACCCCACCCCACCCTCCAGGAGACAACCGCCTCAGCTCATGCCGCACGGTGCTGGGTATCATGGGGCGCCGAGTGCAAGCCTTCTGTGTTCTCCTCCCCACGTCCCCACCCGCTACCCTTTGTGTATTATCTGCCATACACCACACGCCAAACTCCCCCTACCAGGAGACTACCGCCTCAGCTCGAGCCGCACAGTGCTGGACATCATGGAGCGGCGCATCCCCTTTGTGCCATATGGCGGCCTCTCATTCGTCGACGTGCGGGACGTGGTATGTGCCGCCCATCATTCCATCACGTGGTATGTGCGGTGGTATGTGGAGCCAACCCATCCATCCATGTCGCGCACCACCACATAGCACTGCAATCCCTCCACACGCCACCACACACCACCGCATGCCACCGCACCAGACCCCAAGTTCCCCACCAGCTGCACCTTTTCTGGAGGCCCTCTGCTTTCAATGCTGCCAACGTGTTCCTCCAGTTGCCGTTTTAAAGCTCAACATACCTCTATAGAATTAATGTGCCCCTTACCCTGTGGGAATAGTTGCAACAGTATTAATCCGAGTTTGTTCCACCCTTTTCCCACTCTGTGCGTCTGGGTGCAAGCCTCTGCTTTCATTGCTGCCATGCAATTCGCAGCTCCCAATACCACATACCTCCTTGGAGCCGTCAACATGACCTTATACGACTACTTCCACGTCATCGCACGCTGCGCTGACGTGGCGCCGCCGTTTCTGTTCGTGCCGCCAGGTATTGCGTGGCTATTGGCCGCCACTGCGTCGAAACTCTTGCCTCTGATTGGCCGGAAGGACCCCTCGCTTGACCCTGTGGTTGTTGAAATGGCGCAGGTTTATTGGTGAGTGAGGGAGAGAGTGGGAGTGAGATTTAGTGTGAGTGTGAGAGTGGGTGAGGTGTGTGAGTGAGAGTGAGAGGGAGAGTCTGATTGGCCGAAAGGATTTCTTGGTTCACCCTGTTGTGTTTGAAATGGCGTAGGTTTACTGGTAGCTGAGAGAGTGAAAGAGTGGTTGTGCTGTGTGTTTGTGTGTGAGAGAGTGTGTAAGTGCTTGTATGTGTGAGTGAGTGAACGTAAGAGTGAAGTTGAGTGCGTTGGTGTATGTGTGTATGTGTGTGTGTGTGTGTGTGTTCGTGCGTGTGTGCGTGCGTGTGTGTATGTGTGTGTGTGCGAGTGCGTGAGAATACGACTGTGAGAGTTAGTTGCAAGTGTGATCACTGGAGTGCGAGAGTGAGTGCACAAATGTGAGCATGAGAGTGGGAGAGTGAGTGAGCATGAGTACACCTCCATCATCTGTCCCCTCCCCTCCCCTCTCTTCAATATTCCATCAGGTACATTGACTGGAGCAAGGCAGAGAAGGACTTTTGAGTCGACTCATGAGTCGACTTTTGAGTCGACTCAAAAGTCACTCCATCACCTGTCCCCTACCCTTCTCCTCTCTTCAATATTCCACCAGGTACATTGACTGGAGCAAGGCAGAGAAGGAGTTTGGGTTTGCGCCTCGGCCGTATGAGACAACTGTGGCTGACACAGTGGCATGGCTGAGAGCGCACAGGAGCGAGTTGAGAGATTGAGAAGAGACAGAGATTGACAGGATCAACCTTTCAACCCTTGACTCTCGGCTATACGAGACGACAATGGCTGACACGGTGGCATGGCTGAGGGTGAGAGCACAGGAAAGAGTTGAGGGATTGAGTATAGGAGACAGAGATTGACAGGATCAACCTTTCAAACCTCACCTCTCTGCCATGCGAGACGACAGTGGCTGACACGGTGGCATGGCTGAGGGTGAGCGAGCACAGGAGATAGCTAAAGGACTAAGCATAGGGAAGTGAGATAGACATGAGTGAGGGTTGAGTATGCTCACTCAATCCTCACCCCTCGCCCGTATAAGATTAGAGATACACCTTGGACAGAGGAGGGACTAAGCATAGGGAAGTGAGATACACATGAGTGAGGCATGGACAGCCGAGGGACTAATTGTAACGACACTTATTGACCATTTGACTGCAAAAGGCGATGGCTGACGTAATTTAACATCACGAAAGAACTTAAGAGCGGCAGGTGTTTCTCAACGTTTAGGAGCAGCTCACTGAGGTTAGGGCAGCAGTGGTGTTTGGCTAAAGGAAGCATCTAGATAACCTAATATGAAAAAACCTAGATGTTTCTTGATGAATTATACGAAACAGGTGGTAAACCGTGTTAGTTGGTAACTACATGTGTCATTATCGTGTTCCGCAATTATTGGCGAGACGCAAGTAGGGACAGCGCAAGTTCCGCTGTCGCCGCATGATGCGGCGAGAGGTCTGGTTGAGTGTGTGACGCGATGCAGCCAACATTGCTCTACTCAACAGCACGACACCTACACACACCTGTTCACCCTACTCCACCCACCTCTGGGAATTCTGGTTTGGATACTGTTCCCGCCAACCTTGCTCCAGTCAGTGCGCGATATTTTTTTGCGCACCTTCAATGTCCACTCTTAGCGCACTTGGCGCAGGCGACACGACCACTTTGCCCCCCAGCGGCCGAGCACCCCTTTCAGCCATTGTAACATGAATGATTGAGGTACGATTGATTGAGGTGTGTGGAGTAGAGAGCAAACTGGTACTGTCAAGAAGAGTGGCCTGGCGAGCCGAAGGAGACAGACGAGCCCGCATCGGGCGGTCATAAGCAGCGGCTCTGCCTTTATAAGACGTGTGTCCAGAAACCAATACTCACTTTCAGTCGTCACTCCCCACTCAGCAATTTCTAGTGATTAGTAATAGCCCACCACAAGTTATCGATCGGATCGAGATTTTCTCATCACCTATCGCTTTGCACCGTTCGTTCCTTTTTCGATCATTCTACGCAGCAATGGCGGCACCAACGAAGAGTCTTCGCTTCGTTTTCGTCCTCGCCCTAACCTTCGTATGTCTGTCCTCTCTCCACGCGGCGGCAGCATCGGGCCGTCCCGATGACCCCAAGATCAACGCGAATGCGGCTCTGCAGACCCCCCGCAGACTGGCGGAACGTTACGACATGGCGACTGCTGCAAATTCGGTGAACCTGGACAAGGCGCGCGGCTTGGAGGAGGAGGAGGAGGAATTGCCCTCCCACTTGGGGGGAGGGGCAGACTCGTCTGCAAATTTGGTGAAAGTGGACAAGGCGCGCGGCGGCGTGGAGGAGAAGGAGGAAGAGGGCGCGCACTGGGCCATGGGGGCTACCACGAATGTCCCCGCGGGTAACCACGCGGCTGACCAGGTGGCTGATCGCGTGGCTGAACCCGTGGCAGACTCAAAGTCAGGAGGAGAATATTTCAGCGGCTGGACGAAGGGACTCAGTAACAGCTTCACGAACGCAGGGAACTCGTTCACGAAGGGTTTCCAAAACAGCGCCGAGGCTGTCAGAGACGCGGCCGGCTATGTTGTCAACAACCCGGGTAAGACTCTGACGAAGAGCGCGTCGGACTTGACGCGCAGCGCGGGGAGGATCGCGCACAAAGCGGTGATCGAGCACGGGCATGAAGTGTTAGCGAATACGGCTGCGGGGCTCGTTGTTGGCGGAGTGGCGGGGGGACTGATGGCGGGAAGCGGAACGATTGCGCGCCACGCACACGCCGCGACGATGGAGGAGATTGGAAGCTTTGGCGCGAAGGCCGCGGGAGTAGCGCACCTGCCAGTGTTGGGGCAGCCATAGCCGTAAACAGGGACGAAGCATGGTGTGGTGTGGTGCGTGGCGTGGGTTGTGATGTGGTGTGGTAAGGTGTGTTGCGTGACGTGGTGAAGTGGTGAGATGTGGTGCATGGAGTGGTGAGATGTGGTGCATGGAGTGGTGAGATGTGGTGCATGGAGTGGTGAGATGTGGTGCATGGAGTGGTGAGATGTGGTGCATGGAGTGGTGAGATGTGGTGCATGGAGTGGTGAGATGTGGTGCATGGAGTGGTGAGATGTGGTGCATGGAGTGGTGAGATGTGGTGCATGGAGTGGTGAGATGTGGTGCATGGAGTGGTGAGATGTGGTGCATGGAGTGGTGAGATGTGGTGCATGGAGTGGTGAGATGTGGTGCATGGAGTGGTGAGGTGTGGTGCATGGGATTTTTTTTTATTATTAGATTTTTTTTTCCCGTTGTTTCTCTAGTGTAGCAGGGTAGCGTTTGGGCTGGTGCATGCGTGAGTGAGAGGGTTAGGTGGTGCGTGCATATGCATTTGTGGGAGGGTGGATTCAGTTGAATTACGTATTTCAACACCTGTTAGTACAGCACTCCGTCCGCGCGTATCACCCTTGTCACATCCTTCACTGATTGAACGGACCGCTTGCACTCCTGTTTCTCTGGACCCGTGCTTCCTGGCTCCTCCTCCCTGCACTCTTGGTTTATACCTCCTGGTCTCACCCAATCTGAAGGAGCAGTGTGGGAAGGAAGAGAGAAGAAACCAGCTAACGTTAGCTTAGAGAGCACAAGGGAGTGAGCTGAGCGACTGAGCACGAGTAACTTTGACTTCCACCCCTCTTCCGCATGAGACAACAGTGCCTGACACGGTGGCATGGCTGAGAAAGCACAGGAGAGGGCTGAATGGCTGACATGCGCTGACCCTTTGAATCTACGGCATCTATTTTATAAGCAAGGAGTCAATGTGGCTGACACTGGGGCATGGCTGAGAGAGCACAGGAAAGAGCTGAGGGAAATAGCATGGGAGAATGTTATGGTCTACCCCCTGACTATCACCACTTGGCCGTATGAGACAACACTGGCCAGAATGGTTTGGCTGAGAGAGAGCAAGACAAAGCTGACATACGGTAGGAGACATATACTGACATAGGAATCACCATTTGATTGTATTAAGATAGGGCAGCTCACAAGAAGTTCTGTATTGATAAATAATTTTGTGATCGTAAAACAATGGATCATGGAGTATATGTCAAATGTTGCAGCCCCGCGCCCCGCGCCCTACGCCCTGCGCCCGGTGCTCGTCGCCTCCCTACGCCCTGCGCCCTGCGCCCGCGCCTCCCCGCGCCCTGCGCCCTGCGCCTGTTACCTCCCCGCGCCCTGCGCCCGCGCCTCCCCACGCCCTGCGCCTGAGTGCTCGCTGCACCCGTTTCTACGCACGCCCGCCCTTCGCCCGCTGTGCTGTCTTGTCTCTTTCTGCACGCGTGCCTGCTTGCTCGCGCTGCCACGTCTACTCGTTTTCTCCGCCGCTGCGCCTGCCTGTTAGGCCTGCTGCGAGCCCTCCCTCTGCTCTACTACGCGTCCTGTCGCTCGTACTTCCACTATGGCGACTCCTAGAGTTCTTCGTTTTGACACTGACGGTCGACCCCTCGAGTTCTCGATCCAGCTCCTGCACGCGCGTCGCCTTTTAGAGAGTCAGGTCCAGACGGGTGAGTCCCTCTGGGCGCACGCTACTGGTGACCTTCCTGCGCCCGACGACCCTACGCCTTTAGGCTCTGCCCCTGACGACGCTGCTAGAGCCCGCTTTGCCAGCCAGCGTGCTGACCTAACGACGTGGAAGTCGCGTGATGCTGCGGCCTGCATCGCTCTTAGCAGCCTCCTCCCTCAGTCTGAGGAGGCCCACTTCACTCAAGCTCGCCCTGCTAGTGAGTTCCTGACTGCGATTAAGGCCCGCTACGCTACTCCCACCACTGTCTCTCTTGGCCGACTCTTCCTACCGTTCCTGTTCCCTGACCTCGCCTCGTTTGAGCGCTGTGCTGACTTGATTGCTCACCTCCGCTCGCTTGATTCTAGCTACCGCGCTGCCTGCACTGACGCACAACTTGCACTGCTCCCTCCCCCCATGGCGATTACTATCTACTTCATCGCCACTACCCTCCCTGTCCGCCTTGCCTCAGTCCGTGACACGCTTCTTTTGAAGCACCCTAGTGAGCTCACAATCGAGGTCCTTGAGTCTGCGCTCAAGGACGTCAAGAGCAACCTCCGCTCCGTAGCCTCCGCCTCTGGTGCTGTGCCCCCTCCACTGTTCCACGGGTGCAGTGTCCCTCAGCTGCCCACCTTTACAGACTCTCTCGCCACAGCTGCTACTGACGTGACCGCAGCTGCTGTTACGACTTCTTTGCGGTCTCGAGGTAGAGGTGGCAAGAGGGGCGGTCGGGGTACAGGTGGCGGCGGCGGTGGAGGCGTTGGCAGCGGAGGTGGCGGGGGTGGCGTGCCGTCTGGTGGCAGCGGGGGTGCAGGGCTTGGAGAGGCGTCTCGTGCAGCGGCCGGCGACCCCGCTACTGCAGCTGGTGGAGGCGAGGCCCGAGCTCGTCAGCCACCTTCTGGTCTGCCGGCCGCGGCGGGTGGAGCAGCGGCGTGGTATCTGGCCCAGCAGCAGCATCAGCAGCACTAGTAGCAGCAGCCCCTCCCCTTGCAGCAGCCTCGCAGCAATAGCGGCAGCAGCAGGTTTTGGGGCCAGGATAGCGTCAGCCTCAACGAGGTGTTGTTCACCCTTCGTGCACCTATCAACTTTTGACAGGTGCTCGCCGAGGCCAGCCTTGTGGTCGCACCCACACTCCTGGTCAGTGCTTTGCTCAGCTCACTGACACGGTTCGCTTGGCCTACAGCGTTGGAGGCCCTGCCCCTGACTAGTTTCCTCTTGTTTAGACGTACGGCCCTGCCCTTTGGGGCATGTCAGCTTCTCAGTTGCTTGATCTCTTAGGAACTCCTCATGCTATGTAAGCTGTTGTTGACTCTAGTGCTTCTGACTTTGTTTACTTGAGTGTTGCTAGCTTAGGTGCTTGTCTTGCTGAGTTGCCTCTTGCTAGTGTAGGCACTTGTGTAGACACTAGTCCAGGAGATCGTTCTGAGGACGCTTCGCTGTCTTTCACTTTGGAATCTGGGGCTTCGCACTGCTTCTTCAGGGACCACACGACACTTACTCCGCTTCCCGCGCCAGTCTCTGTGGCACTGGCTGATCCCACCTCGGGACCAGTCACTGCTCGCTACACTACTTCTCTTTCGTGCCCTGCTGTCCCTTCTGGGTCTCTGACTGGCTTCCATGTCCCCTCGTTCTCAAGGAACTTGGTGGGCGTGAGGCCTCTTGTGAGTCAGCACGTGGGTGTGTGGATTGAGCCCTCTGGTGAGACGGCGGTTTGTGTTGACGGAGACACTTACGCGCCTCTTGCCACCTTTACAGCGGAGCCGGGCTCAGGTCTCTACACACTTCACACTAACCCTGGTGTGCAGCAGTAGCAACAGCAGCAGCAGCAACGGCGGCGGCAACAGCAGCAGCAGCAGCGACTCGTGCCCCTGGCCCCGGTTACTTCCCCCAGTCTGGTCCCTGCGTCTCACCAGGTTGCTGCGTCCTCCCAGGTAGCTGTGTCTGGTCAGGTTCCCGTGTCTGGTCCAGTTGGTGCGTCGTGCTCCTGCCGGTCACTTGCACACCCCACCGTTCTGTGGCACCACCGGACGGGGCACCCATCCATCCCTCGTCTGCGCGCTATGTCTCGTCAGCGTCTTGTCTTAGGCCTCCCGCGTGTCTTGCCGTCTCTGCCGCCTTCGCTTGCATCGCCGTGCGATCCCTGCGTCGAGGGTCGGCTGCGCGCCACCCCTCACTCCTCCTCCCTTCGTTCCGGCCACCGAGCCTTTTGAGACGCTCCACTTGGACGTCTGGGGCCCCGCCCCTTGCCTTGGCCCTGAGCGCGAGCGATTCTTTTTGGTGGTCGTTGACGACTACTCCTGCTACACCACAGTGTTCCCCCTGGCAAAGAAGTCTGAGGTGACTTCTACGCTGATCAGGTGGTTGCTTACCACAGAGGGCACTCGTGGTCGTCGTGTCAGCTGTCTTTACTTTGACCGTGGGGGTGAGTTTCGCTCCGGCATTCTCGGTGGATTCTGTCACGAGCAGGGCATTAGTCAGTCCTGGACGCTTCCAGAGTCCCCATAGCAGAATGGGGTTGCTAAGCGCCGCATAGGCTTGGTCATGGAGATCGCCCGCACCTCCTTGACTCACGCCCGTGCCCCCCATGTTCTGTGGCCCTACGCGGGTAGGTACGCCGCTCACCAGCTGAACCTCTGGCCACGCGTCACTTGGCTAGAGGCTTCACCGACCAGTCTTTGGACCAGGTCCCCTGGTGTTGCGTCGAGGTTTCGTGTCTGGGGTTGCTTGGCTCTTGTCCGCGACACTTCCGCGGACAAGCTCTCGCCACGCGCCGTTCCCTGTGTCTTCCTTGGTTTCCCTGAGGACTCCTCTGACTTCACCTTTTACCACCCTCCCTCTCACCGGTTCTTTGACTCCCGTGACGTCCGTTTCGAGGAGTCCACCCCCTACTACGTCAGGTACACCAGTCGAGGTCTCCCGGTTCCTCCTCCCCCTCTCTTCCTAACTTCCGCTCCCCCTCCTGCTCCCCCGGTACAGCCTCCCCCCCTTGGTCCCGCCCCGTCGGGTGTGTCCCAGGCTACCCCTCCCCCCTCGGTAGCCCCTCAGGTGCAGCCTCCTTCCCTGCAGTCCTCCTCGCAGCCTGCTGCAGACCCTGTGGGAGCCGGTGCTCATGGAGAGGGCCCTACAGTTGCTAGCTCTTGGGGTGCTGGAGTTGAAGCTGAGCCCGTGGTTGCAGGAGACTCTTGTCTTCCGGGAGCTGGTGCTGTACCTGCTGACTTTTGGGGTGCTATGTCTGGGGGTGCGGGTGCACCCTCTTCGGGTCCTGGTGAGCCTGGTCGTGTTGCTGTTGGTGGTGCTGACTCTAGGGGTGGTGCGCCAGGTGCTTTGG